AGTCGTACGTAAATTCCTGGTAGCGGAATTAAACAAAATAAATTATAATCAACTAACTCGTCTAATTGCTACAAATTTCAAAGTATTATTTTTCTTTCTATTACGACTAAATATATATATATGTATATAAATTTATCTCTACCTTGTTTCAAATTTCATAGGGTTACAATGTAATTTCATAATATATATTTTGTTCATAAATAAATCTTGAATTACTTATTTTTTTTTTATTTTCATTTCGTTGTTATTTTACATAGCAATGAATAAAAATATTTTAGGATTTATCTTTATTAAAAATTTAAAATATTATACACAGAAAAAACTGTCTACTTAAAGCCTATAGTTGTCTCCCGAGGCTCCACCTCGGATCAGGTTAAAAGTATAATATTTATTATTCTATATATATATCAATCAGTGCACTTAATTTCATTAATATCTGTTCAGTCGTTTCCATATATTGAGTAATAAAGATTCAAACATCATAAGAATTATCTTTACAATGAAATAATAGACAATTCTCGGGGTTTTGCTATTCGTGCGAACTAATTTATAAAGTGTGGTCCTGATTACGAGTATAAAAAATGTTCCGTGTCTAAAAGGCGCAAACAAACTCATATAATACGAATTCGTACTGATAACAAAATATCTGACTGATGGAAGGATGATTAGCTATTGTATTGCCACAATCTTGGAATCAATAGATACTATTTTTAATTTCGGGTAGTAGGGTGACGTAATGTAAATATTGCTATTCAGTAATAGGCATATTTTATCATGTAATCAATGCCGTTAATAATATATATTTAGACCATAAAGATCAATTTTTTTTAATATAATTTTTTTATGTTCCATATTTGTCAAAACCGATTTTTGATAGTATTTGTTCGGTATGCGTGACAAATCGCACATGTTAGGCTGGAGCCATCAATCAAGTACGACATTATTTGAATGACATTTAAGAAAATACAAAATTTCATAGGCATGAGCTATCAGAATTATAATGCTAAATTTGACAAACTATATATTTCATATCTATGTACGAAATCCTAAGTGATATGCAGACTAATTCAACTCCGCTTTTGTGTAAACTTTGAGCAAAACTGAATAATAATTTTGCGAATTCTTCAATTGTGCAAATTATATTAAAATGCACGACTAGTTCGTCAGATAATTTATCATGTGAATCATATGAATTGCGACATATTGGAAACTGATGCTAGTATTTCAACTGCAAATAAAATTTAAATTCTAGATACCTCTGAAAATATAAAAATAAAAAATTTGATAGACTAGCCGCAAGTATATTTATTGATAGTTAAAAGTATACTAATATAATGAATATTATATTATATATTCATATATTTTATTTAATAGTCATATAATAAACGAATTATCCTGTATACCTGTCTACATAATATGCCATGTCTGTCTACTGTAGAAAGTAAAAAAGATAGATGAAAGTGTTGATAATTTTAAAATAATTTTGAAATGACTAAATATGAAAGTATATAATATATATCTAAGTCGATACTTTTGAGGATAGTTACTTCGCATATAAATAATTAATTATATATTATAAAATATTTATATATACATATATAACTTTTTTAATATAAAATCATCTACTTTTAGTTATATAAATATATATAGTGTAGTTCTTTTTTACGATAAGCTATACATATGTCTTTATTGACCTTACTTTTCTATTCCAACCTTCATTCGCCTTATCCTATATAAGTATTTTTTCCAAAAATACCGATACATTTAAAGCTTAAGCTACACTAAATCGCCTCCTACTTTTTATGGCGTATTCGACCACTATTATAAACCTTCCATCTACGAAATAGAGTTTCCTCTGACTAAGAATTCACACGAAAACAAGGTATAAATTGGAAACCGGTCGGCCATCCCCAGATAAATGGCTCAATTCTGAAAGAAGTGCGGTTCGATAATGACCGTAGACGATTTCCACGAATGGCGACGGGTGAGTAAAAATCAAGATTTGATGAACAGTTGTGAAAGAATGAAAAAAGTAATTGTGGTAATTTTAAGCCTCTTCTAAAGGGAGGAAGTTGACATCCAAAAACTAAAAATAAGACTCAATTCGCATTATGTTTTGTATTATTTGTTACATTCGGACTTTTGGGTTTTTACATGTTAACTTGATCTTGTCTTTTAAATTTCTTTTGAACTATTTAATTAAACTATGCGTTATTTGATTAGATTTATTTTATGCTACTATTAATATGTAATGATTATTTTTTTTATAATAAAGTAGTTTAGTTTCTTCACAATACCAGTAGTACATATAATAATTTTATCATTCAAATAATTTCGCAGAAGATGTTTTAAGATGTTTAGAAGTAAAACACGTATCACAAAACATGCATGAACTACATGGTAGTCGTAGATTGATATCTAATATGGAAGGTTGTGGAACTTCTGATAGTAATAGTGGTGGTCAATCTTCGAGTGTTGGCAGTTACACACATATTAATGGTAGCGGAATTAAACAAAATAATTCTAACCAAATAACCAGTACTTTAGAACTACAAACATAAGTTGATAGAGATGATAACACTTATCGTATAGAATCCAACGCTTTGATTTATTACACAATTTGAGAGATTTCTTCTGAAATTGAGGAATAAATGAAGATAGCCACTACAAATAATGTTTTCAAAAAGATAACGTCGCAATTTTCTTGTCTCAATGGTATTTTTTATTCTTTGTGACACTACTATAGAATATAAATATATATCTACGTGGATTCAGAACTTCTCCTACAATTTAATTCCCAGTAGCTCCTTTCAATATTTTTATCTTACTTTGATCATAGCTTTATTTCTTTACTTAGATATCTTTCTGATTCTACCTTAATTCACTTTTATTAACATAACCGACAAAATCTGCAATTGCTAAAGCAATCAGATTAATAAGCAAATAGTAACTTGTAAAGGTTACCTACAATTGTGTATTGTTTTAACTAAATCTTAGAATAATATTCTGTTAATATCGACAGAACTGTTTGAAACAAGTGAAATTGCAAATGCTAATAGATACACAAAGAGAACCAATTTAACTCATTTCCAACATATTTTGAGAGAGCCAAAGTTTAGAAACTTATCTACTGAACCCACTAATAACAACCGATAGAATGAACTTGACTGGAGGCAGATACTGTATATATAATGAGCAGAAATTAGCTTGTCTATTCTTTTGTTAGTAAAATCAATATGACCACTATTCTTTATTATTATTATTATAACCGACCTAGAGAGACAGTATTTTTTTTTAATATTTAATACCTATTGTTATACTAATTTCATTTATACTGCGAAAACTCAATATTGTACAATTGCTAGCAAATTAGAGGAATTGTAGGAACGATATGAAAGCAAAACAAAGTGTTAACTACAACCAGTAAAAAAGTATTTAACATAATTATTATACAGGATTAAGATTGTACAAAATCTAACAATAAGATAGTTAATTTGACCTAAAAAGAATTTTGTTACTTGATCTTATGTACAAACTGTATTTTGTAATATCAAAATCTAATAAAAAGAACTTGTATTAAAAATTAAAAGTACCATTGTTTCTTGAGGTTTGTTATTATTAACAATTATTTCATTTATCTATTTTACATTTTTATGATATAAATAAATCATAGAGGTAGTGTAACGAACTACCTGTCAAACGTACGAACTTGTATAAATGAACTTTTAAAAACGACGGTATATTTTTTATGAATTAAGATTTCTTAGTCAATCCAATGAACCATTCGTGTTTCTAGCATGAAGCAGTTGTGTTTGCATGGCTGTGTTTCGGTTTGAAGGGTGGGATATGACAGTGAATTTTTGGGGTACAGAAGAATAACACCTGAGTCCACAGGAATGGCAACACATGAGGGAATCATAGGCGAAACAGTATACTCTGTTATGTCCATGGTCATATCATATCATGCTCATATCTATAGGTGACGGTTAACATTTTCCATCAGGTGGGCCGTCAGCTTATTTGGCATTCTAAATTGCATAAAAAAACATTATATTTTAATAAAAAACGTTTTATATGAATTCTTGTTTTCTTAAAATAATATATTTAATTATAACCACTAAAAGTAGCTTCCAATTTTAATTTGCTAACTAATTTATAACTTAAATACAGAATATATACATCTTTAGAACTTCGCTAGTTGAAAACCGAAGCCCCGTTATTTACTTAAATTGATTTCTGGGTGAACTTCTACTCGGTATTCTCTTTGATGTAGATAAAGTTTGTTAGTTGTTAATTTGATATCATTTGGAATATTGATGATATCATCGGCAAATTGTTATTCCACATACTTATACATTGTATAACCGTATACATAAATGTATTGTAAATAAAATAGAAAAATCAAAATATTAATTATTATAAATTTTTAAAAAAATTCCCAAAAAAAGAAAAGGCGACGGTTACCACTTTCCATCAGGTGGGACGTCAGCTTGTTTGCCATTCTAAGTTGTATAAAAAAAAAGTAATAATTTTTCACTCAACTAAATAAAATCACAATCTCCATTAACTGAATCGAAAATAAAAAAAAAATAGCAGCTTTCCTTAATTCCATCGGAAATGAAATAATTGTCAAATATAATTAATATATATCGCAAATGTGTAGGACGCGATTACCTACATCCTAAATATATAAAGTAGATTTATTTGAATAACTTTTATTCAAATCTATTCATCCGTTTACCGTTTTGTTTTCTTAGTGTAATATTTTCTTGTAAATGTTTGTATTTATAATAAGTTTTCCATTGTAATCTTATATAGGAAGCAATAAAATGTATCTATCTATCTACGTTTCATTCAATTCTAATAACGCTAAACAAATCAACACATTATAACAAAATTAAAGCACAAATATTACAGATATAAGACTATTGTTTATCAATTATTTCTATTTTGTTGTTCGGTTAAATATATGTAGTAATAAATATTTCCAATTGTTTCAGAATGCGAAAGAATTGTTCGTCGTCATAAATCCAATAAAAATGTGCGACAATGCGTTACTACGGACAATATAAAGCAGTGAGATCGTGTTCGAGTGTGATGTGAGAGACATTATGACCAGTAGTAGCCGTTGGTTGGCGATGTTGGCGGTGGTGGTGGCAGCTGGGGCGGTGAGGGGGTGGGATTGTGTTTGCAATCCGAGGGAGTGCGAGGCGTTGGAGCCCAGTGGATGTCCTGGGCTTGGAATCGTCGTTTGGGATCCTTGCAGGTGAGTTCCCAAGGAATAAATATTTTTATTTATATGACTATCTTCATGTCGCAGTGGTGAGTAAATTATCTCAGTTATAGTATATGTATATAGTATATATATATATATATATATATATATATATATATATATATATATATATATATATAGTTCACTCTGATGAAAATCATGACCTTTTTTACTAAATATTAAAATGGAACATAGAATCTTAGTTGTTTCTATTTAAATTTAAATATTTTATAATGAATATTTTTAAAGCGATACCTACCACTACATTTCTTATTATAATTTAATATTTATAGGTATACTTCTTATAAGATGTCCCAATGGAAAAAATCCAACATACCTAGAAGAACGTTGGCTTATCTATTGCAGTTCCGAGCGTCCGTTACGAGATTCAATCACTTCAGGTATTCCGTAAGGGCTGCCTGAGATTACTCAGATTCTTACACAAACACAGTAACATATATAACATAAATTTATAGTTATATTCAAACATGGAACTTATTGGAATATATTTCCAAGGTCATTTTATGTCATGTATTATCTAAGAATCTAAGAATTAAACAGAAAAATTGAAAAAGCCAAAAGCCATACGATAAATATAAATGGACTTTTTTAACGTTTTATTAAACGCAGTTTGCTAATAGTCTACAATAAAAGTGATAACTTTTACCGTAACCATAATTATTATATCTTTTTTATAAAGTAACAAACACTTTCGATAAAAATTATAAACTTTGTGATTGCAAATTGGGGAAAATATTGAATATCACAATAATAAAGACTAATGAAGAACCTCATTATTTTTGGACCATTATTAAAAATGGGCGCTAATCCAATTAACTGTATTAATACTATAAATATGAAAGTTTGTAACGATGGATGGATAAATGAATGTTTGTTACTCTTTCACGCAAAAACTACTAAACGGTTTTAGATGGATTTGGTATACTGATAGGTTATAACCTAATTTAACATACAGAATACTTTATATACTTATTCACACAGGGAAAGTCGCGAGATACAGCTAGCTATTTAAATAACTTCAATATTCAAAGTAGAGAAACGCGCATGTTAGCATTCCACTATAAAATACAGTCATGTCAGCTTAAAGTGCGTTAACACTGCTTCTCTCGTTCAGCGATATTTTCCATCGAATACAATTGAGCTGTGAACCCCTCATTTATTCACATACAGCCATAGAATGGATAAGGAGGTGTACCTACCTAACCCCCATCTTTGCTAAATCGTTTGATTTCCATTCCTCAATCTCGACTTCAACCTCCTTTATTTTCAGATTTATATTTACTTATTTGATTTTGAATCTTTGATCAGATTTGAGATGCAGACGTGTTTATAAACAGATCTCTATGTTTATGAAAAATCGTTATATTTTCGTTTAATAAATGGCAATATGAAACTTTTTGTTATTTTATTGTACTGTTAATAACAATTGTTTAACGTAATATAATTAAATATCTAGAATACTGTATACTCACAGTATACTCTGTTACATCCATGATACTGCTCATGTTTATAGGCGATGGTTACCATTTTCCTTTAGGTGGGCCGTGAGCTTGTTTGCCGTTCTAAGTTGCATAAAAAAAAACTGTGTACAAAAATGTCGAAATCTGAGTCTCTAACTACTACAAAAATACATATTAGTATTACATATTTCTTTAACTAGTCAAATACATTTTTATGTAACTCTTCTGTGAATATCTTTAGCAACAAAATCAAATTAACGAAGCAAAGTCAAAAAGTATTTACTGGTTGGCTTCGTCTAAGTTGTCGGTAACAAGATCCGTTAGCTTGAAAAGAGAAACAGATTTCACAGAGATCTTTGGTAACAGAAGGTAATTACTGAAGCCTTTTGTACCGGAAAAGTTTTCTTTATTAGTTCTATTCGTACCTTACACCAGCTTTGTTCAATTTTTGGTTCCGCTCTGTTTGTGGCGTAATCAATACAACAACTTTCAAATACCTTTTTTTTTTCATTAATTAGTATTGTATTGGAAGTAGTAATCAAGGTTATAAACATATACTTATTAACATAGTACAAATACTTATAAAAATAATAACAGGTACAAAATCGATAAAAAAAGTAAGAGGAATATATTTGAAAACTGTCTCGTAGAAGAATAAAATTGATAAAATTTTATATTTAATAGAATTAGCTGATCAGCTACATAATATTAAAGAACTACAGGTGTTGGGTTACGCATTCAGGTAGATAGTAGTATAGGGGTAGATAGTAAATAAAGTACAAATATTGCACAGCGTATGTGCTTCGGTATAGACTAGGTCACCCCTTCTATTCCCGTGGGTGTCGTAAGAGGCGACTAAGAAAGGGCGAGGGATAGGTAGTTTCTTTTAAAATATCTCTAAAAGCCTAACTGTGCAGTTGCCAAACGTGGCAACCACTGGCAAAACTCCCCTTATGGGAAAGGCTTATGTCCATTAGTGGATAGTTAACGGCTGAAATAATAATATAATAATTGCACAGCGTTATTTGTTTAAGTTTCTTCACTTTGTTTAATGAGTATTATTTTTGACTATTTTATTTTTTATGTACAAAATTATGCTCTATTAATGATACATTATCAAAAAACAGAATACAATAATTACAGAAACTTACTTGATTCATGTAACTAAAGCTTCGATTCCTAATACGGTAAATCAAAGAATTATTTCACAGAAAAAGATTGAACAAGTCAAAGCCATACGGCGGGTTTGATCCACTTAGATGAAGTTCGTCCCTGATCTTCAAAATAAGGAAGCGGACCGACTAATACAATTACAAAACTTTCATCCTGAAGCTTAATTTGGATTCTATTTATATATATTTATTTGTAAATAAACAAAAATATGTTATTTATTTGTCTTAATATTCGTCAAAATTATATAAAAAAGTTTTCTACCGAGACTGAATACAAAAAAAAATATTTCATAAGTTATTTTTATAAATCATAAAATAAACGCAAAATTATTAAATTATTATATAAGTCTATTAAAAACTATTATTTCTTCTGTTTTTTATAAGGGATGGGAATTAAAAGCGATCATTTAGGTAAAACATGATAATTTATATAGATAGATAAACGCTTTATTTGAATCATTTATGACACACGTTAATTAACAAATGGATTCATACTATCAAATTAATTATGTTCTTTTTTATAAATGTAAAATAAAAGATAACATACAAAAATATGTTTTCGCCATATGTGTAGCAGTAGCCCAAATAGGCTACACCTCAGTGATAGTTTTGCTTAAAAACAAATTTTCAGCTGCAGCCTTAAATTAGGCTACATAGATGCGTGCAACGAAACCAGAATGTCCTTATATGACCAAATTAACAAAAATAAAATTGTATTATATAAATATATACTTATATATATGATATTATTTATACATATTGTGATATTACTTATATAAATGATACTTTACCTGGATTATCTCGATATTTCGACCAAATTACACTAGCCGTGGTCACGAGTAGAGTTGCTTATGTAACGATGTCCAGCTTCCACTTTCGAGGCAAAAGTTTTTACTTCTGCTTCAATATCCTCATTGTCCCACTTCAAACAAATTGTGTCCCTATACAGAGGGTTTCTGCACATAGCACAGACCAATGTTTTTATTTGATGCATATACCGACTGTATATATGATAACCCAGTTAAATTATCATAGCTTACCTAAAAGATTGCATTAATTCCCGTCAATTATAAATCATATACCATGGAATCCAAAAGTCTAAAATTTTATATTATATCTTCTATTTTAAAAAACAACCAAATATGCTTTAGTTGTTTTTTAGTTAATATTTTTTTGAAATTTAAAAATATTTTGCAAGTAAATTTATGTAGTTTTATTTATTTTTATTTGTTTATCTAATATAATAAATAGTTACATTAACTATTCATTATAAATATACGCGTATCTGTGTGTGTAACTTAAGGTAAAGTACATTCATATTGATTGATTAAAATAAAAAGTGTCCTTCTCGATATCAATCGGTAACAATTACATTTCAGAATAACTATTATTTAACATACAGACGTTTGTCGTTTATCGAACCATCTTTTTAGAGAAATGTTTAGTTTCACTGCTAAAATGATTGACATTTTCTGCACAAACTAAATTCCTCTTTATGTAAACATACATGCAAAACACGTGTGCATTACAATCTATGGACACAAATTACTTCGAATATCACCCTGTATAGATAAAGTAAAAATAAGATGTAACAAAACATACCAGTCTTGTTAAGGGCAAAATCTATTAAATTATAAGCAACTTGATTAATCCCTGACCACTCAACTGAGATCAGAGTTAATTGTGTTAGTAAACTATATTCAAGTTAAGCTTTGTAAGTTCATATAAAGTTTAGAGTTTAGCAAATTTAATATAGTCTTCTCTAAGTAGTGCTGATAAATATATTCTATTTATGTAGATATTTCCTGTTTAATTTGATTTATTGATAGATTTTGTTGCTACTAACGACCAATATAAATTACGTATTTAATGTTGCTTTTCCCCGTATTACTTTATTTATTATTCTGAGAATAGAATATTTATATCTAAATCATTATAAGAAAGGAAAAGATAATTAAGTAAATATTCCTAAATACACAATGCAACACCATTTAATCCGGATTTAGGTAATAATATAACTTACGGGTAATAATGAAACTGATATTCTTTAAGTATCTTATTTACATTTTCCATTTCTTTTTGTATTTACATTACAAATAAATACACAAGACTGTATGGAAAATTGCTTTTAACAAAAAGACTATTTTGTTGCACTTATACATGTATTATAAACGTATTTATTTAATTATACGTATCCTATCTACTGTTGAATCTTTATAGGATGCTACCGTAAGTCACGGCTGATGTACCGGACTTAATAATCATATACGAGTATTCTGTGATAGTCATGATGCTGTTCATATCTATGTAGGTAATAGATATCATTTTTCATCATGATTACTCCTCAATATTATTTTTGCCTTTATTATATACTTTGGAAGATGCTTGGTGAAATTGAAGACATTATTTTCTTTTTTTTTTTAAGAAATGATCTACCAGTGAATTTATCCAAAAAAAAAAACCTTGGAAATTACTGCACTGTGTTAATATAGGGAAATCATAATTAATTTTGAGTTTTTTCAGTGTATTCATTACATTTAGAGGATTGGCAACTTGCTTTCTATTCTATGTATCATAAAAAAAAAAAACTTTATTTCTTATATCATCAAATTTATTCGCTTCTATTTCGTAGATACATTCTGTATACATAAAGTTTCTAGTTAAAAAAAAAATTGTTATTACGATGTAAAAAAAAGCTGAAAGTTCCTTTTGAGAAACTATAAGTATGCCATTAACCACGTAATAACATCCGGCGCACTACTGTGACCTTTAGTTTTATTGCTCTATAGCGTGCTTTTCTTTACAGATGCTGCAAGGTTTGCGCAAGGACACTAGGGGAAGACTGCGGTGGTTTCAGAGGGACTTGTGAACCGGGCCTCAAGTGCTACGAAGGTTCGTGTACGCCTATAACGTGAACTAACTGAAACAAAACTTGTATTATATGTGTATAGTGTTGAATAGAGAAAGAAACATATCCCCAGTCAACGTAGAAAACGAGAGGACCACACCTGGCGAGGATAAGTAAAGAATAATTGGAACCTCACGAGACATCTAGGCATGTCTGTGACAATAAATTAGTGATCGAATAAGGGACACTTTTTCATTGTAAGAATTATGGACAGATAAAAATGTACATTGTAACTATATGGTTGCCGATGCTTTGTAAAGATTATTTCTTTCGGAACGAGCGCAAATTTCATTTTAATGTCCCAACTCCGCCTGTGGAGGAAACGATAAAATCTCCAGTTTTCTGTTCCCTCGTTATGTTGCCATTCAACTCTATGAAAGGTTCTCGAGAAATTTGTTTTGAAAAACAAACAAAGCAAGTATCAAAATAATGTTGAAATTTATGTACTGTCATTAAAATTAAGCCTTTGAACTAAAGTTATTGTATTCGTTATGGTAATCAAAGTTATTTAGATTTCACATTTTGTTTTGGCTGTTTAAAATTTAATTAAATTTATTAATAATAATTTGTTAGTTTATTTATAAATTATTAAATTTTACAATTATATTTTATGTATTATTGTACACAAAAAAATCTAAGGAAGTGGAATAAAAATAAAAAAATCGAGTCACATTTTGACTTTCATAATTACAACAATAAAGTAATTTGTATCAAAATAATTCTTCTTAAAACTTACATATTATTATTTATTGTACAAATTAAATTTAATTATCTAATTTATTTTTATAATTATTATCACTTCATTTGTATATTTTTTTCCGCAATTACTATGTATAACATATAATTATATCATAATGAAATTGTTAATCAAAACATTTATATACATTAATTAAAATGATGGAATTTGTTACTGTTGGTTTTTAGGTGTCAGGATTAATAGTATGGTTAGCAAGTGAAAAAAAAAACAACAATTGTAATTAACAATTTATCTATATTTCTGTGTGCTTCCAGGTTACATGTAGTTAAAAAGCAAAAATATAATGTTTAATATTGTACGTACAAGTAAAAAAAAAACAATTAAAAAATTCTTAGTTCTGTAAATATTATCTGATTAGCATTTTTATCTTGTAGAATAATACAAAAATAAAGTAGTTAAATAGTATATACTAGAATAAAAAAGTAGGATGGATTCATTTTGTATATCCTATCTGGTCGACTTTAGTTACAATTTTCTAAAATGGCAGTAAATATTTTCTTAATCATAATATAACCTATTTTAGATATTCATAAATAGTAATTAAGTAATATATTTATTTTATAATAAAAACTAATTTATTTTACTGTCGTAATTAATAGCAATAAAAATAAAATGGGCTTTGTTAAGTCACCATCTTCTTCATATTTGCAGAGAGCAAAGTTCGGTGTGTATATATTATATTATATATTAGAATTAAGAAGTTAATGAAACAATTATATTAATACATAATTTTGAGTTGTCTGCAGAAGCAAGTGTCTTGATAACATATGTTTTTAAAACATACATTTAGTGCATTGAGAAAGAATATTTTGCATATAACACTTATTACCTAATTGAGACAAAAGTTCGATTATATTTTGTGTGTATTGTTAAAAAATATGCAGTGTAAAAATATTGAAATGTAATATAAGACGAACGAATTGACTACCTTTACCTACAATTTTCTTTTATATTTACTAATTATAATTTATGGGCAGTGTTGTAGAATTAATCTATCATTTATTTTATAATAATAAACATGGTAATTAGCATCCTTTTAAGATTTTAAATGTTTTGCTATTAAAATTCAATATTTTTACGAATGGTAAGAAAATGTATATAAAAATGATAATAAATTTAGTGCATTTTATACTGAAGCGACATCAGAACGCGTTTTGTTAGTATGAATGGTTAAAAATGTTTTGTCATTTTTCAACCTAAATTGGGTCGAGGAAAATGTTCGGTTATTCAATTATTAATATTCAACATCACTTTCTTAAAAGGATACTAATTAATTCAACCTTTATGTAAAATATATTTAAATGACATAAAAGGAATATAATGAAATACATGGCCTAATTATAGAAATGAATTTAATAATAACAAGTTTTTTTTAAAAAGAAAAGTTTAAATTTAGCATAAATTTATTTAAATTAACATAACGGCCGAGTATAAAGTTATTGAACCACCGTGTAAATTGCCATAATTTAGATGTAATTTCCATTTCTTCGAAATAATTATTTGAAATAAGCCGATTATCTTTGATGTGTTTACGACTTTGGCACTACATACGATACAAATTCTATTTGTTTCGTTAAGCTGTAATAAATTATATAATTTAATTGCTTGTGAATTGTTACCTTTTAATTATCATTAAGTAATACAGAACGTGTTTGAGTTGGTATTTAATCTTTACATATACATGATAAAATCGAAACAAAGTCAAAACTGTATATTAAATAATATATATTTATAAATGTAATATAGAGGTGCATAGAATATGCGATTCTAAATTAAAAATATAATTTTTCCTCTGTTTATGTATTTTCAGATTTACCTGATGTATGTTATTTTATTCAATAAATCTTGACGTTGAAATTTTCACAGTATATCAAACCAAATATCGGTTAAAATAATGACTATGGAAATTTTAAAAACTTTATGCTCCAATGTTGAAAAATTGTTGTTTTTTTAAAGCATTAAACATAAGTGTGAGAAAAAATTATAAGATTATTTAAAATGAAGGCTATTCTATAGTAATTGCTACAGTAACTTATAAAATGTCAATAAAAAGTTAATAAAATATCGACTCACTTTAATTGAATTTTACCAGAAGGCGCCTCTCGTAGTACAGCAATGCTTTAACAATAAATGTTATTCTAAAAAGATTACTGTACAAAATAATTGAAAATTTGTTTATTAAAGAAATATTGGAAACTATAATTATATTTTAAGACGATTACAACCGCGAGCCGAGTAATTGTTTAACCGTAATAGAAATAATTTCTGTGTCAAAATAATACTATACAATATTTATAAGGTGTTTTTTTTTTTTTATCAAGGATGGCAATATTATGTTTAGCTGAGCCCTCACGTCACAATTGTATTTTGTGAGATCCACGGTGCTGTTCGTGCCTATAGGCGAGGAACACTACGTTTGTGGAATATTAAAGAAGCAAATTGTGCATACAGACGCGATTCCAAATTTTTATACCACCGAAGATATTACTTAGCATCAAACTTGCTTAGTTTGATTATATGTATTAAACAGCTCATCTAGATATATATTATACATAGAAAATATTCAAACTAATAGAAACAGATCTACTTATAAATAAAATTGTTTGTATTTTGAGGGAAATGAACCCGTGGTCATCGGAAGATAAAGTAGTGCGTTCAACCGCTGCATCACCAAAATCATCGTCTAGGTCAATACCTATTATATACTAGTCTTTATTAATCGAAATATTTCTTTACTATTATATTACTTCCATACAAGTTTTTTATGTAACATAGGGAGCAAATATGCTTGTGGCTCACAAAATGTTTACAAAGTGTTTATCGCCGCCTATAAGCAATTAAACAAAATAAGAGAAATTACAGGTCAACACACCTGTAATTTCTCTTATTTTGTTTAATTTGCTAAAATTATTTTTATTTTAGACCGACATCTTAAATTATATCGAAATAATTTCAAATCGATTTACGTCTGTAATTATGATTGAATGATATACGAGAGCTGTCAGGAATTGATGAATGTGGTGATTCGTTCGTTTTACACTACAACATAAATTGCTCATGTATAATAGCCACATATAATCAAAATGTAACCTGAATTGAATATTTTATATTGTAAGTTGTACAAATGAATTAAATAATTCAGACTTACTCGTTAATTGTGCACACATTGAATAAATAAGTTAAATAATGAAACATGTATTTTTAATTATCATATTATTAATCGTAATCATCAATCATATCAGCTGTTATGTGTCCACTGCTGGACATGGACCTCTTTATCTACGATATAGAAGATTCGCATTAAGAAATATCTTAAGCAAAATAACCCTATCCAGGCATTTGATAACCTGATTGAAATTGAAAATCCTCGTATGCAGACAGAACATTATAAGTTTTGGTTAGTAAGAAAATACGTGACCTGAGGACTTTAGTACTTAATTAATAAACATTAAAGTTTTTAGACAAACATGTAATCTGAATCTGGACAGAACAAGATCTACCTATATATGTGTCTATAAAAAACATTAGTTATCAAATATCCATAGCGACGTTCAGACACCTTCCATTAAGTGCATCTAGATTTACAACTGCAACTGTACATACAGAAAGTGTGTATTCAAATGCCGACTCTATGCAATTTCGCTACAAACTAAGTAAATGCAGCATAGAACCATGACTGCAGTTACGTACCACCTGTCGCCGGTAGCGTTGAAGCACTTTGCCACAAAACTTGATTATTCTTGTACATATGGCAAATAACGTCCAATATTAACGGCTTTTTTAATTACTACAAATGGCCACTTAAAAAGTTAAAAACCCGCTTCATAATTCCTTTTGTATAAACAGAGAGAGACTTTGTTCAAAAGTCCATTGCTTGGGTACCTCTGTCGCATTCGTGTTTCAACCGTGAAGCAATTGTGTTTGCATGGCTGTCTTTCGGTTTGAATGGTAGGATATGGCGTGAATTTATTGGGTACAAAGGAATAACACCTAACTCCTCAGGAATGGCAACGCATGGGGGGTATCATGGGCGAAATACTCTGTTATGTCCATGGTACTGCTCATGTCTATAGGCGACGTTACCACTTTCCATCAGGTGGGCCGTCAGCTTGCCATTCTAAGTTGTATAAAAAAAAATCTGATTATAAAAGTGTACCAATTTGTTAATATAATAACCACACCGTGAGATGACTATTAAATTCAGAAGATCATACAAAATTAATTATCATGCACATATAAAGAAGATTTTGAAACAACTGTAATAAAAAAATATTACCATCAACTACGGACCTGAATGGCTGTGTGGTCTTGCCATAGGATCACCTCTTCTTTTCCAATGGGTGTTGTAAAAGGAGATGAGCTGCTGCTCATCTCTCGGCATTTGGCGATGTTTTAAGAGGGTCATTGCTATGCCTGTTTTAAAACATCCCCAAAACCTAACTGCGGTTGCCAACTCGTCTGTCAAACGTTGGCAATTATGAGTAAAACCCCCCAAATGGGGGGGCCTACGTTCAGCAGTGGATAGTTAAAAGCTGATATGATAGACATGAACAACATAATAGATATGCAGATATTATAATTCTATTTACATTCTGAAGCGTTTGATAATATTAATGGTAGATAGGTATACTATTACTAACGGTAGAGAAGTGTACAGCTTCACTTTCCAATAGTTCAAGGGTTGATCCTCTCAGAATATACACATTTGAATATACACACGTATGTGTCTGTGTATTTTAATATGAATGATTTCTATAAATAAATGTATATCTATTAAGTACACAAAAAAACTCTGACTTCAATGGTGGCAAAATCAGTTATTTTTTTAAACCAAAATATTTTTATTGAAATTTCTATGGGACCAATCTTTAATTATATCCTTTTAGTTAAAAAAGTATATTCCTTTCCATTTCTTAGGACGCCAAATATAAATAAATACGTACATTACGGTTTCAGAGAAGCTTCCTTCCATGAGTGAGATTGTGATATGACCTTCGCGCCGATGTCCCTAGAGACTACAGCATGGGATTCTTCAAAAAGGGCGTAATGAGGTTTCATAGGGGTCGACAACGCGCGCGTGACATCCTTGGTGTTATGTCAGGCATCCGTAAGCTACGGTGACCGTGTGTCATTAAACGAATTATATGCTTGTTTTCCACTGTAGCAGTATAAGAAAAACAACCGAATTGAGATTCTCTTTTTTAAATCGGTTGAATAATATTTAATTCTACTCAGTGGAAGTGCAATGCGTAAATCTCAGTGCGATAATAGAAAAGACAACTCAGAGTGTGTTAGTGAGAAGTCGTTTAAGTTTGAATCCTGTGGCTTCAGTATATGTTTGAAACGTCAATATTGCACAGGAAGCTTGGATGAATTTATAAAAAAAATGATCCGAAAATCTTTAAAAAGAAGCTAGATTAGGTACACTTTTTAGTATTTATGTTAAAACAATATTCAGATATGAAAAATAAATTGAAATCATTAGCATTTTTAACTTATATTTTTTAAAGATATGTTTATATTCGTTGGTTGACATACCATGAGAAATCCTAATGACTTCGAATAAACTTAGTAGTTATGCAACTTAGAATTTTTGAAAACAAACTAA